CTCAACTTTTCCTGCTTCATGCGCGTGTACACCAAGGTGGTGCTGCCCCTGTAATTGTTTTAGAGTTGTGTCCTTTTATTTTATATTGTCCATTCATGTTCTTCCTATCAAAATGAATTGCCTCACAATTCTCTACATTGACCTTCATCTGCCACCTGACCGCCCATTCCACCAATTTGTCTGTAATCTTTTGAAGTTTCACACTATACTCATCACTCTTCACAGCGCTTCCAAGGTTCATTTTATTCTCAAACACCACCTGAACACTGAGATCTTGGTCACCGATACACATGAGGAAAAGAATTAGTCTCATTACTGACGCTTAGTTTTCTCCACAATGAGACACATCCATTAAGCACGACTCTGTTTCCTGCCACTCAGCCAATTTCATCAGAACTAGGAGCACGAGTAGACTACTCAACAACTCAAACCCATTCCACCATTCAATACAATGGTGGCTGATCTCATCTCAGCCTCAACTCCACCCTCCTGCCTGCTCCCCATAACCCATCAACCCATTACTTATTACAAATCTGTCTATCTCCTCCTTAAGTTTACTCAATGTCCCAGCATCCACCGCACTCTGTGGGAGTGAATTCCATAAATTCATGACCCTTTGAGAGAAGTCTTCATGTCTGTTTTTAATCTGCTACCCCTTATTCTAAAACTATGGCTCTCATTCTAGATTTCCACACATGAGGAAACATCTTCTCTGCGTCTACTTTGTCAATCCCCTTTAGCAACTTACATACCTCAATTAGATCTCCTCTCATTCTTCTAAACTCCGGAGAATATCAGCCTAAACTGCTCAATCTCTGTTCATAAGACAAATCTCTTACCTCTGTAATCAATCTAATGAACTTTCTCTGAGCTGCCTCTGATGCAAATACATCCTTCCTCAAGTAAGGGAACCAAAACTGTATAGGTACAGTCTCACTAATGCTTGTACAGTTGCAGCAACATTTCACGACTTTAATACTCCATTCATTTAGCAACAAATGCCAAACTTTCATTTCCATGTTGCTAATATCCCTTTTTGTGGTATAAGCTATAACTTTACTCATAGGTCTGTTGTGTGGCATCATCTCAAATGCCTTTTGAAGGACCTTGTTCAGCAAATCAATAGTATTGCTGAGCACTCTGTGTTATCTCTTCAAGAACATCCAGAAAATTAGTTGAACATGATTTTCTCTTGTGTCCATGCTGATTGTCTTTAAAGAAGCTGCATTTAGCAATCTGTTTTGATTTTGGTAACTTTAAAGGGTTCCAGCTCATTTACTTTGATAGCTCGCCATAAAAGTGTTAATACCTGAGCAACCATAAAACTGAACCCAGTCCAACACAGTCACCAGTGACACACCCCAACTCTGATCTATCCCAGCCACTTACCTCCCACCAAAACATGCTCACACAAATTTTTCTTGTGCCTTCCTGAGGTGCTGTGCACTGCCTAACGCTCAACATGATGTCCTCACATGCATGTACCATCTGTTCCACTCTCCTACTGCCCCTTTACTCACTTCACCCCACTAAGTTGTCCACTCACATACTTGCCTCCTTCCAGCCTGATGCCCACTTCCTCACATTCACCATGCACGCTCCCACTTCTGCCCTGCTACCCTCTCATGCCAGCTACTTTCTGCCCAACAGCCTGCCCTCACTTTATCTGCCCTAACATCTACCAGTTCCCTCCATATGCATGCCAGCGCCCCAAGCAGACAAGCCTTGTCCCCTCAGTTAACTTGTCAAAGTGGCTCTGGGGCTTGTGAACCCCAGAGTACATCAGTTAGTATCATACCAAGGGGGTGTGCCTTGGTCTGCAATAATGATCCAGTGCTGTGATCCCAGAACAGTTGGAAACTGTATGCCTGAAAAGGCCCAATTTTGAAATCTAGAAATGTACAGCTCCAGGGCACAGCGGAATAGCAACCTGATAAAAGTTATTCCTCAGCACTCCCCTCAGAAGATTCAGTGCATTGTAGTTGTGAAAGGAGTCAGTTAAAAACTATCATAGTGTAACCCTCCTCGATGCATAATGGGCAATATCTCAGTTTGATTTGGCTACTGCACATCTTTCACTATAATTTTGTTGAAACATTTTCCCCTACTTGGATATGTACCTCATATCTCGAAACTGGAAAAACCTCTTTTGACTGTCAATCAGCCTTTAGTATGTGCATGAGAATTATATTTCATACTTTTGTTTCTGGACAATTCTGAAGTATTTTGAAGTGCTGTTGCAACATGACCATACAAATTTCTATTGTATAGCATTGTAACAGCAACCTGTTAGGTAACTGGGCCAGGAACTAATATCACTGAACTTTTTAATTGTTGATATTTATATTTTCCAGAATCCTGTAGGAGCAGTCTTAATTATCTTATTAATAAGTCAGTCTTATTATCTATCAAGTCTTGTCTTAATATGTGAAATCATTTTTTAACGAACAGTTGCATATGCTTTCATTTAGTGATCACAGAAATAATACAGGTTAACTTTAAGGGTGAGGTGATGGCCTAGTAACTTAGAGAACAAGTTAATGTTCAAACACCAACATGGCAGATGAATTCGACTTCAATAAAAATCTAATAATGACCATTGTCCATAATCATAAAATCCCAAACTGCAGTCCTTACCTGGTCTGGCCTACATGTAACTCAAGACCCACAGCAATATAGCTGACTCTTAGCTGCTCTCTGAAATGGCCCAACATGCCAGTTGTATCAACCACTAGAAAGGAAAAAAGGAATGGACTACCTGGTACCAATTAGGCACTGGAAAATAGCAAAGCACAGCCCCCATCCACCCTGCCAAATCCTCCTTAGTGACATATGGGTGTGTGTACCAAAATTGGGTGTGGAATCTCAAAAGACTAGTCGTGGAGACTTACTTTACAGAGTGTCCCAGACAACACCATCACCAACAGAGGTGGTGACACAGTGATGTATAGTTGTGAGAGAGTTTCCCTAGCAGTTCAACATTGATTCTGTACCCCATGGTGTTCATAGCATCAAGTCATAGAAAAACAAGCTTCCTGCTGGTTAACATCTACTGCTCCCCTTGGCTGATGAATGAGTTCCAACTCTATGACTCCTCTATGACAAGCACCAATTGCAGGAAGCACTGAAGGTGGCATAGGTGGAGAATGTACTCCAGTTGGTGGGGGGGAGGGGGTGGGTGCTTCAGTATCCTCACATTCCACCCCACCAGTCTCCACATTCTCCACCATTTCTGCCACCTCCAGCAGGATGCCATCAGCAAGCACACTGTCTCCCCCACTGTCGTAAATCCATAGGGACCGTTCCTTTGATAACACACTAGTCCATTCCTCCATCACTCCTAATGCTTCCTCACTCCACCATGGCACCTTCCCATGCAATTGCGGGAAGTTCAACACCAGCCCGTTCACCTCCTATCTCCTCACCATCCAAAACCCCAGTCACACCTTTCAGGCGAGGCCATGTTTTACTCGTACTTCTTTCAGTCTGGTCAACTGCATTCATTGCTCAAAGTGCGGTCTCCTTCACATCCACAACACCAAATGCAGACTGAGTGACCAGTTTATCAAACATCTTTCCTGCCCCTACCTTCTGCCTTCCTGCTCCTCCTCACCATCTGCCAAAAGGATAAGAAAAATTTGTGATTTTCTTCTCACAGAAGAAAACATTCAAGCTGATGTTCAAACAATATGAGCTCCCTTTTCATAACAGCAAGATTTCGCTGGGTTGTTACTGTACCAGCACTATTGTGCTGGCAGAAACAATGATCAGCAAACTCAGGATTCATAAAGTCAGCTAGCTCCTTTCATTTCTGAGTAGCAGCTGTATTCTAATCCAGTGAGACAAATGTTGACAAGAATTTTATTCTGACAGATAACAAAACTTTATTCATCATTCAGATCCCCATCTAATGAAAGGCAAAGAATAGGTAGAGGCTGAATTTTAAAATGTAATCTTCCTTTCAGAAGACAAAATGATGAACTGTCCAATCCCCAGCTATTATTTGCATTTGCAAGGACATATAAGCATATGTTAAAAAAATCTTACATTTTAACACAATTTTGTGTTTTTTCATTTATTTCTTAAATTTAAGAGTTTTTAATAAACCTTGTCAACAAGGTAAGAAATTCAAGCATGAAAGTAGTTGTGATTCTTCACTGAGGTTGAGTGTCTGCGAAGGAAAACGTTATGTTATTCTTTTTGCTGTTTAAGATAATATAGTTTCAAATTATTAACAATGTATATTTAGCCTTTTCATATTCTTTTGGGTAAAAGTTTGTTATTTTCTTAAAAGTACCTTGGCAGCCTCTTGGGAACATGTTCAGTGACTGACCAGAATGGTAAACAAATTACACAAATAAAACTAATGGTCTATCAAGCCAAGTGTCAATCTGGGATCTGACTTGTACAATAGTACCATCAGCTGGGATCACGACACAGTCATGTCTGAAATCAAATCCAGTATCACCAATATTGACTGTGTTATTGTCTTGCACATTTGAAATAATGGAGGAAATCTCTGTACTGCTTAATGTAATAGTGCTGATGAGCAGGAACAAACATTTTAACGAAGCGTTGCAGCTCTGAATGCATCTCATTGATAGTCTATTGGTCACACTGTTGTGATTGGTAACTCCTGTTAGATCTGAAGTTATTGTCATTGCCAGTTTAAATTAAAGTAGATTTTAAAAAGCTAACAGGGGAAAGGAAAGGAGTCTTACCAGTTAGGGAATAGAAATAGTAATTGGCATGTATATAATAATGTACAAGTGGCCACAGAAGTTAAAAGGATGGATGTTAAAGTGAAGCTTATTTTTCCCATGGACATGATTCTTCTAGAATTGTCAATCTATTTCAGAAATGCTCACTTCATGCATTTTAGGTATCAGCGAATGAATTATCATACATTTATACATCACAAGAGCTATTATATAACTGAGCATCACTTTAAAATTTGAACCAAAATACATAAGAAGTTACAGACTGTTTTCTGCCCGCAGGTGGATTTCTGGCAGCCCAGCAGTATTCTTTCTGTTAAACCTGGTGTTCTTGTAGATATACATGTGCCCAGAAGCTGGTCTGAAAAATTCTTTCAGTCACTTCTACAAACTGGAATTGACTTTAAGTAAGTTTACAATTTACCTTTTAAACCTGCACATTCCTCTTTGGTATTTTTATTTCATTTCAACATTGCGAACATCAAACTCAGTAACATAATGGCTGAATAAATTATTTTGTACTTGTCAGCTTTAGGATTTGCTCTGGTGGGGCAGGTTAATTTGCTCTCACATTTATCCCAATGTGGCTTTGTAATCAAAACCCAAGAAGGATTGACCAGTCTGGTTTGTCCCTCCATAGAATATCTCTCATTTCCTATGGAACACTGATGAAATTCTGATCGTACTGGAGGGGAGATAGTACACAATACTGTGGACCTATTATTCAGTGGCAGAGTAGAAAGTACCCAATGTCCACACACTTTACTCCCATTTCCACTAAACTGTTCTATCCCATCTTCTTCTTAGCCCCCATAATAGTTGACACGGTTCATGGTTCATTCCGTTCTTTTTATCTCTTCATGGGATGTGGATGTCAAATTGCCTTTGAAATGGGTGGCTTGCTACGCCCTTTTAGAGAGTAGGTGGGAGCCAGCCACATTACTGTGAGTCTGGAGTCACATAGGTAGGCCAGACCAGGTAAGTGCAGAAGATTTTCTTCCCTCAAAGACAATTAGTGAACCAGAAAGATTCTAATGACAATTGACAGCAGTTCAATGAATGCCATTGGACTAACTATTCTGGATTTTTATTGGATTCATATTTCACCATCTGCCATGGTGGGGTTCTAACCCATGTCCATAGAACATTAGTCTGGGACCCTGAATTACCATGACCTTGATGGCATCACTTCGTCCCCTACTGACCCTATCCTTTCATAATTGTTATCAGCACAACCTCTATGAAAAATAATCCTCAGCCCCCTCTATCCTTGCCAACTACTGCGCCATCTTCAACTTCACTTTCCTTTCCAAAGTTCTTCAGTGTGCATTCTGCAACTCCACATTTGAATCCGATTTCCATTTGAGTTTTCTCCCACTGTACAGCACTGGAATAGTTGCAAACAGTCAGTCACAGGTGAGATCCTATGATTGTCATTTTTGTTTTGCTCTGTGTGCTGCTTCTTCCGCCTGCGGTCTATACCAAAGTTTACTGCACACCCATTTTTCTCAAATGCCTTAATTTCTCCATTTAGTGGAGCAGTGCTTAGTTGGTCCAGATCTACCAGAACCTTTCGGTCACCTCTCCTAATGTTTTTGCTTTCGGCATTGTGTTCATTTTTGTCCATAGCATTAAAAGTTACCTCTGCTAGTTTAGTGGTGACAATACTATAAGAACTAAACTTCATACATGTAAGTACAAAATGACAACTAATGCAAAAATCAATTGAACAAATTATAGCATTCCATAACACAATTCCATGATTTTGTATTTATATTTTAAAAAATGTTTAATTTTCTGATGTTTATCTATTTAGAAAACTAAGAGACTACAGAGCAGTATCTGGATTTATTTAGGCAAGGCCATTTTTTAAAAGTGTCATGGTGGTTTAAGAAAAATAAAATGTCTAAAACACAGTTGAGTTCAGTGGATAACGGGCAACCACACTCATCAGTGCATCAACCAGTGCATCAGGGCTATAAAAGTGGCATTGGGAACACCAGTGTTGCAATGAAGGGTCTTTTCTGTATGACTCTATGGTGATATAGCAGAGTGAAGGTCAACAAAGAGGATGACACAAAGAGTCTGCACAGAGATACAGACAGGTCAATCAAGTGGGGATAAAACTTGGCAGATGGAAAATAGTGTGGGAAAATGTGAGCTTATACACATTAGCACGAAGAATAGAGGTGCTGACTATTATTTAAATGGAGAAAGACTGCAGAAAGCCACAGAACAGAGGATTTGGCAGTCCCTGTGCAGAAATCACAAAAATCTAGCACCCAAGTTCAGTGGGCAATAGGGAAGGCAAATGGAATGATTGCCTTTATTTCAAAAAGAATGGAGTATAAAAGGCAGGGGGAGGGGTTTGCTAAAACTATATAAGGCATTAGTCAGACCACAGCTGGAATACTGTGAACAGTTTTAGGCCCCCCATCTAAGGAAAGATGTATTGGCATTAGAGGCAGGCCAGAGAAAGTTCACTAGGCTGATCCCAGATATGGAGGGACTGTCATATGAGTAGGTTCGCACTGTACTAATTGGAATTTAGAAGAATGAGAAGCAATTTTGGTGAAACACATAAGATTCTTAGAGGACTAGACCAGGTAGATGCTGAAAGATGGCCTCTCCCTGTGGGAAAGTTGAAGACCAAAGGGTATAATCTCAGAATAAGGGGCTGCACATTTGAGAGAAAGCTGAGGAGTAATTTCTTCTTGCGGGAGTTGTAAATCACAGAAGCTAAATCATTAATTATATTCAAATCTGAGATGGATAGTTTTTTTTGGTCATTAAGGGAATTGAGGGTTATGAGGAAAAGGCAGGAAAGTGGAGGTAAGGATTATCAGATCAGCCATGATCTCAATGAATAACGGAGTTAGGTTGAATAGTCTACGTCTACTCCTACGACTTGAGGCTGGAGGAGGAATCTCCAAAACTACCCCACCCTCAATGATGGAGGAGCCCAGTTCATCAGTGCAAAAGATAATGCAGAAGCATCTGAAACAACTTTCAGCCAGGAATGTCAAAAGGATGACCATCTTAGCCACCTCCAGAGATTTCTAACATTACAGATGCCAATTTTCAGCCAATTCAATTCACTCCACATGAAATCAAGAAACAGCTGGCAGCACTGGATACTGCAAAGGCTATGGCCCCAACAAAATTCCGACAACAATATTGTTCTCCAGAGTTTGCTGCTCCCCTAGCCAAGCTCTTCCAGTACAGTTACAAAGTTGGCATCTACCTGACATTGTGGAAAATTGCCCAGGTATGTCCTGTACACAAAAGAAAGGACAAATCCAACCTGACCAATTACCGCCCCATCAGTGTACTCTCGATCATCAGTAAAGTGATGGAAGGTGTCATCAACAGTGCTATCAAGCAGCACCTGCTCAGCAATAACCTGCTCAGTGATGCCCAGTTTGGATTCTGCCAGGGCCACTCAGCTCCTAAACTCATTACAGGCTTCGTTCATACATGGACAAAAGAGCTGAATTCCAGAGGTGAGGGGAGAGTGACAGCCCTCAACATTAAGGCTGCATTCTACCAAGTGTGGCATCAAGGAACGTACCAAAACTAGAATCAATAAGTATCGGGGAGGCAAAATCTCCACTGGCTGGTATCTTACCTGGCACATAGGAAGATGGTTGTAGTTGTTGGTGGTCAGTCATCTCAACTCCAGGACATCTCTGCAAGAGTTTCTCAAGGTAGTGTCCTCAGCTCAACCTTTATCATAAAGTCAGAAGTGGGAATGTTGACTGAAGATTGTTCAACATTCAGCTCCATCCATGACTGCTCAGATAGTGTCAGTGTCAAAATGCAGAAAGACCTGAACAATATCCAGGCTTTGGTTGTCAAGTATCAAGTAACATTTATGCCATTTATTAAGTGCAAGAGAGGATCTGACCATCACCCTCGATATTTAATGGGTTTACCTTTGCTGAATCTGTCACTGAATGTCCCACTGTCAAGCTCCTGGGAATTACCATGAAACAGAAACAGAAGTGCACCAGCTGTAGAAATACTGTGGCTACAAGAGGGGTAGAATCCAGCAGTGAGAACTCATCTCCCAACTCCCCAAAGCCTGTCTGCAAGGCACAAGTCAGGACTGTGAAGGAATACCCTCCACTTGCCTGGATGGGCATAGCTCCAAAAACACTCAAGAAGCATGACACCATCCAGGATATAGTAGTCCATTTGATTGGCACCCAGCCAACACCTTCAACATTCATTGCCTTCAATACCCACATACAGTGACAGCAGGCTGTTACCATATATAAGATACACTGCAGTAATTCATTAGCTTATTTGACAGCACCTTCAAATTCCATACCTCTACCACCTAAAAGAACACGGACTACGACAGAGGCATCGGAATGCACCACCTACAAGTCACACACCACCCTGACTAGGATTGGTATCGCAATTCCTTCATTTACCCTTGGTCAAAATCCTGGAACCCCCTAACAATGTCCCTAAGTGTCCCTATACCCCAAGGACAGCTGGAGCTCCTAAAGGCAGCTTCCCACCAACCTCTCTGTAGCAGTTAGGGATGGGCAATAAATGTTGGCCCAATCAGTGACGCCACATCCCATGTACAAATGAAGAAAAAGGGACCTTGTGTTATTGCAGACCAGTCTTCTACCACTCATTGATTGGGATGAAGCCGATCAGGAAATAGAGTCATAGAGTCGTAGAGCTGTACAGCATGGAAACAGAGCCTTCAGTCCGACTCCTCCATGCCAACTGGATATCCTAAATTAATCTAGTCACATTTGCCAGCATTTTGCCCATATCCCTATAAACCGTTCCTATTCATATACTCATCCAGGTGCTTTTTAAATGTTGTCACTGTACCAGCCTCCACCACCTCCTCTGGCAGCTCATTCCATACACACACCACCGTCTGCATGAAAAGGTTGCCTTGCAGGCCCCTTTTAAATCTTTCCCCTCTCACATTAAACCTATGCCCTTTAGTTTTGGACTCCCACTACTCTGGGGAAAAGACCCTGTCTATTCACCCTATCTATGCCCCTCATGATTTTATAAATTTCTATGAGGTCACCTCTCAGCCTCTGAAGCTCTAGAGAAAATAACCCCAGCCTATTCAGCCTGTCCCTATAGCTCAAACCCTCCAACCCTGGCAACATCCTTGTCAATCTTTTCTGAACCCTTTCAAGTTTCACAGTATCCTTCCTATAGCAGGGAGACCAGAATTGAATGCAGTATTCCAAACCAATATCCACAACATGACCTCCTGACGCCTATACTCAATGCATTGACCAATAAAGGCAAGCTTACCAAATATCGTCTTCTCTATCCTAACTACCTGTGATTCCACTTTCAAGGAATTATGAACCTGCACTCCAAGATTTCTTTGTTCAGCAACACTCCCCAGGACCTTACC